AGAGAAAATTACACCATATACAACACATATCACTTTTTATTACAAAATTACCATATGCATAACATTAATTGCAAAATTACTAAATAATAAATTGAGTATGCAATTAACTGATCAACATAATTAAAGGTAGACTTTCTCTCTCCCCTATCTCTTCTTCTCCCTTCTTCTCTCTCTCTCTCTGTTTTTTTTTTCGGATCGGTGGAATCCTTCCTTTCTCTCCCTCTATCTCTGTATTTTTCTTTCTCTCTCCCCCTTATCTCTTCTTCTCCCTTCTCTCTCCCTCTCTCTGTTTTTTTTCCACATTGCAATTGGATTAAATATTCATGGTTTTGGAATGAAATTCATGAGATTTATAAACAACTCGACACCTGGACCTGGAGTTATTTTCAGTATATGTTCTGTATATGTTCGGTATACACATGTCCAGTATATGTTCGCCTGGATCGCCTCTGGATCTGATGTTATTTTTTAGTATATGTTCTGTATATGCTCGGTATATGTTCTGTATATAAACCCAATATATATACATACATATATATATATATATATATATATATATATAAACATCAAATCGATAACGGCTGAGTACATATCTTATCTGTGCAAAAATAACGGCTGACTAACAAAACGCGACATTTAAGGACATTGATCTCTATTTGTTGAGGTAACCGAAATTAGGTATTAGCTCAATTAATTTCCATGCATTAGGTAAACTTGCAAATAAATTAATCTCTTTGGTAATCTTACAATAAATTAAGAAACGCTGTGTATAAATGAAAATTGCCCTACTATATAACCATTATGAAACTCAATGAGGAGTTTTGTACCTTCAGGTGGGCATCCCAATGGATCGTGGGCAGTATATCCATCGGCTTGGAAGAACTGGCAGACAAGGCAAAGAAGGTGAAGGTCTTCTATTGCTTGCACCATGGGAACAATATTTCCTGGACGACATAAAGGACCTTCCCCTTGAAAAATTCACATCCCCAGAAATAGATCCTAATGCAAAAGCAAAGGTAAAACAATATATCTCTTCTCGATGGTTGGTCTAAATTATTTACCCTAAGTGCATTTGTAGTTTCCAGACAAGACAAGACTATCGTTAATATTCCAATGGAATAAAACATATAAGTTGACGACAATTATCGGTTAGGTTAGTAGACTGATGCAAAGACACATTTTAAAACTCCCAATTGCCAATTTTTTTCCTTATATTTTAGCATCCTATTTGATTTTTTTTTACACGACTGTAGATTGAAGAGTCACTGGAGAAAATCGACACAAGCGTCAAGGAAGCAGCTTATCATGCTTGGCTCGGTTACTATAACTCAATAAGTGCCATTGGCAGGGACAAGACAACACTTGCTGAACTTGCCAAACAATTCTCAGCTTCAATCGGTTTACAAAAGCAACCTGCTCTGTACCGGAAAACTGCACTAAAGATGGGATTGAAAGGTATCCCGGGCATTCTAATACGAAAGTAGCATTATTTTTTCATCCTCGAAGACCTAACCCGACGTATATAATGTCCGAAAATTTCCATTTTGACGTGAGAAGGAAATCACTTGGGATGGATTTATTTCTACGTTTGTTCCGACGAAACTGCTACGGTTAGAATTTTGATAGTGTGACCGTAATATATTTTCAGGTCTAATGAAATTCCATGTATTTACTTCTATCAGTAATGCTAAGGAGCCAACTGTTGGCTCCGCTTCAATGTGGGACAGTCCCATATGGAGCTGTCCCATTGGTTGTTGGCTCCTTAGTATTTCTCTTACTTTTATAGCATATTAATCTTTATAATTACCAAAAAGACCAGATATTCATCAGTACACATCAATATTCATCATTAAGTATACATAAGTTTGATACTTGTGAACACATGTAATATATGAGTGTTGAATTAAAGAAAAAAATATGCAAGTTTAAAAAAAAAATATTACTTTTGAATATATTTTGAATAAAATGTATTTTTAAAATTTTTCTCGCAAAACTAACAACCAATTAACGGCCAAGTATTATATTTGTCAGTTGTTTATATTTTATAATACGAGTATTGAATCGAGATAACTTAAATATGGGGTTGTGATCTTGAAATTAGCTCTTAGTTTGGGACTGGATGCACAATTTGCCCTTTGAAATATTTGTTATTTTTCAAAACGTGTATTATTATTATTTATATCTACAATAATACTCATTTATTGAATGAGCCACAAAAATATGAAATTAATTTAATTGATGGATAATAATTTTATCATTTTCTAATTAAGATTGATAGGTGATTTTATTTTGTATATGTAATATGAATGTAACTGTCAAAAAATAAGTAATTTTATATGTAATATATAAAAACTGATAATAAATAATAAAGCTAGAATAGTTTTAAAATATAATTGTAATTTAAGTTAATAAATTATCTGAGATTATATGGTTCGTAATGTATATGGAAAAAATATAAATTTGCACGAATTACTCTGAACTACAGAGTTGATAAATAGGAAACCGAAGCACTATAGGATAATAGTGAATTATTAAGTACCGAAAAATAATACTTGGGCTCGTGAAAACTGTGCATTATGTGAACAAGGGCAATAAATGAGATTGAGCCCAAAATTTTTCAAATTGGACATAATTAATTAAGAGGCCCAATAAATGAGATTGTGCCCACGAGCTAGCCCAATGTATGCAATTTCAGTTCGAAAACTGAACCGATTCTAATATCAAAACCGTCGTTGTCTTCCCTTTCCCCTAGGGACAATCACAGAGTTCTAACCACAAATCCACCCAGAAAAATGCATTCGTGAAATTCCTTACACTTGCGCGGGTGAAGGGTGCGGCGTGCTATAATCCATATTTCACTTCAGGTATGTAATTTTATCTCCGAATAATACCCTAATAAATCGTACCATCATTTATGAAATTACTGAGAATCGCACCTTTTTTAGATAGTCATATTTTTTTTTTATGTGGAAGTGTAAGAATGGCTACTGTAATGGTTTTCCTCCACTACAATGGTAACTGGGAGAATAACTGCTACACAAAGTACGAAGTCGCCGGCTTAATGTTGCCTAAAGATTGCACCTTTGATGACTTGTGCGCTCTTGTTCTCGATAAACTCAAGATCAAATCACCCCCACATGTTTTGGACATGAAATACCAGGTTAAGGATGATTATCCCGCGATTCGGATCAACGACGAGTCGAGTCTGCAATTTTACATCCACCTGAAAGCTAGAGAAAGTGATATCACCAAATTCCCCATTTGCACAACTGTTACTGCAGCCCAACCCGAACCTGAAACTGAACCTGAACCTGAACCTGAACCCGAACCCGAACCATCCGGTAGCACGGCCCGAATGCCCGATCCAGATTTTGGGTCGAGAGTAGATTTGACAGATAACAGTGACACAATCGACATTACCCCTATCCCGAAGAATTTTCTCGTTTTTGCGCAAGGAGCTGCTTCGATTATGGCAGAAGCAGTAGCCTCGACTGCCAACGACTCATCTTCAATCCTTCCCAACGGAGGAGCAGCCACAGAAATTGACGGTACGAATATCGAAAAAATGGCGGTGGGTACCGTTTTTCAGAACAAATCCATTTTGTAGAAAAAGTTGAGCTTGCACGCGATCCATCACCGTTTTCAGTTCAAAGTGGAGAAATCGTGCCAGAAACAGTATTACGTACGTTGTTTCGAGCCAGATTGTAATTGGTATGTGAAGGCCTCTCGTGTGGGAAATTGCAGTTTGTTCAAAATTAGAAGCGTTGTGAACGAGCACACGTGCCCTGAAGAAAGCCGAACGAAAGATCTCCGGCAAGCTACGGCAACTCTTGTGAGTGATTGCATAAAGCAGAAATTCACGAGCTTGAAGACTGCTTACAGGCCCTCTGATATAATACAGGATATGCGTTCCAAGTATGGGATAGAGTTAAATTACAAGAAAGCTTGGAGATCGAAGCAGAAAGCCATGGAAGTTGTTCGAGGAAAAGTAGACGAGTCGTATGCATATGTAGACCAGTATATGCAGAAGCTTTGCAAGGCTAATCCGGGGTCGTTTGTGAAATTATGCGCGACTACAGAAGGAAATTTCAAGTATGCGTTTATGTCTTTGAATGCATCTATCAAAGGTTGGGATCATTGCCGACCAATCATTGTTATCAATGGAGTCTTTCTGAAGTCTGCTTACGGTGGGATTCTGTTAACGGCAAGTGCACAAGATGGGAATTCAGATATTCTGCCGATAGCATTTAGTGTTGTTGATTTTGAGTGTGATGATTCATACTTGTGGTTCTTTGTCAAGCTAAAAGATGCCATTGGAACAAGGCCTGGGTTATGCATTGTTTCAGACGAAAATGAAGGCATAAAGAACGCTATTGAAAAGGTAATGGAAATGAGATATATGTTTAACCTGTCTTGTCTCTGTTGTAACTGCAAAGAATAAGGTTGAAATGAAGGATATATTTGGTTTGGGATTTTGAGGGACGTTTTGAGTCTTTATGAGATTTCAGACGTTTTAAGAATGTTTGTGAAATCTTAAGTTTGGAGGTGAGATTTGGAGTGAGATTTTGTATATGGTTTTTTCTTTTGAAATATGAGTAAAATTAAAAAAATCTTAACAAATCCTAGTCTCAAATAAGTTGAATACATCAAGATTTTGTAAGACTTTTTAAAATCTCAAATGAATACCTCAGAGACTTTTAAAAGTCCTAAAAGTATAATTAAATACACTAGTCTGAAAGTCTTTAGAAATTCCAAACGTATACACCCATAAACACTCTTCATCTTCACACTTGAAAGAAAAAATAGTGTGAAAATGAATTACAAAATATGAAATGGTGTCCAGTAAACCTATTGATTAATTTTTTGGTTTCTTAACTGCAAAATGTGGATATTATTACAGGTCTACCCAGATGCTGCCCACTGTCTTTGCACGTATCACATAGCTAACAATTTGAAGTCGAACTTCAAGAAGAACACATCTGCAGTAAGAGAATCCTTCACAGCAGCAGCACGCGCATACACAGAAAACGACTTCAATTACAACATGTCAGAACTGAAAAATATGGATCCTCGAGTGCCGACATATCTCCGAAAAATCGGAATACATAAATGGGCACGCGTTCATTCCACCACGAACAAATACTTCACAATGACTTCAAATGTAGCCGAAAGTATAAACTCGGCCACCAGGCTCGTGAGGGATCTTCCCATTACAACTCTTCTAGAGTCATTACGTGCATTGCAGCAAGAATGGAATGTGAAAAATCGAGATGAAGCGGAAAACATGTCCACAACACTCACAAAGAGGGCAAACACGATGCTTGAAGCGAATTACAAAATTGATGTACATTTAACTGTGAGTGCATTATTAAGTAATATCCGATTTACTACTATTTATTTGGTCATTTTACTAATGCGAAGTCCGTTTAATTTTAATTTTAATTTTTTTTTTGAAATAAACAGTTGCAAAGAACAAGTGATGAAGTATACAGGGTTTCGACAGGAGCAGAAGTTTTTGTAGTGAATCTTGGGATGAAGAGTTGTACGTGCAATCGCTTTCAAATGGATGAATTGCCATGTCCACATGCTCTTAAAGTCATCTCGAGTCAAAATTTGGATCCTTTGGCATATTGCTCGAATTATTACCGAACGTCAATGTTGGTATCAACATACTCCACGCCGGTTTTTCCAGTAGACAGCAACACATCATTCACTAATATAAGCAGCAGTACAAGCACAATCATCAAGCCACCGTTTGTAAGGTGATTTAACCCAAAAAATATTGTTGAGTGACATAGTAACTTAAGCAGTAGAGCAGAAGTAGAGAGGTATAGTTTAACTAGTTTGTTATCTGCATTGGGATTAAATTTTAAAGACATGCGTTATATTAATGCTACACTGACTAGTAGTGTTGTCCTTTAATCTCTGTTTTTAAGATGTGTTATATGGTCTATATTATGATGTACTGTTCGTGATTTACAAAGATGGTAAATATATACACTATATTCATTTATGAAGAAGATTGATAGTAGGCAAGTCTAATGATTAGTTATGTATACCTTCTTAATAAATATATACAAGTTTAAATTGAAATGTCATACTTTAAAAAACCACAAATAACTTAACAAAATTCTAAAGTCTTAGAATACTAAACAAATACACCCTCTATAACTCTTTTTACTTTTT